GTTTTTTGTAATGTTTTATCAAATGTAATGTATATACATTTGTTTTTATTACGATTAACCTAATAACGTATTAAATAAGGGTGACTATTCCATTATATATTAATTTTGTGGTTTTTTGTAATGTTTTATCATATAGATACATTGTTATCTTCCGTTTGTGCCAATTTCATATTTGTGAATTAATAACAATGTGTTTGGATTATAAAGAGAATTTCACCAAGATTAGTAAGTATAAACTTTGGTTTAAACGTTTTGCTCTACCTTCTCTACGACGCCTGGTATGGCCAGGTGGTTAGGGCGCTCGACTCGCAATCTGAGGGTCGCGGGCTCGAATCCCTGTCCCATCAAACATGCTCGCCCTTTCAGCTGTTGGGGCGTTATAATGTGACGGTGAATTTGCGCGAAATTCAAAAATAAACAAACCTTCTCTACATTGTATGCCTGGCTGGGCGTTGTCTAGCAGAGTGCTCTGACTATAAATTCGATGACTTTTGAGACGTCCCATGCCGTGAGAACGCACTCCAAACGTTGGGGCGTGGATGCGGTAAAAGAGTGACGGTCAATTTCCATTATATTGTTAGACAAGGTTTTGTAATGAATGCTTTTGACTAAATGATTTTCCTTTGGTCCATCAGTTCAGATATCTTTTGTATTGCTTTGCGCGAAAGTTCTAAACCAAACAATAACACTGCACGCCCTTTCTCTCACTATTTATGTATGAAGGTATTCGTGTAGTATTAGTAATAAATGAAGATCATTATCTGACTAGTCGTGTCCTAAATTAGTGACTACCAGAGTTTTTTTTTTTTGCTTGTGCGAGCTTGTAACGTGTTTTATGCTTCAAATACAGACCATTAACTTTGCTGCTCTCCACGGCTTAGCTCACCCATCATAGATGTACGATTAAATTTGATCTATACCCTTGAAAGCAATAATAGCGCCATTAAAAGTGTGTATTTAAAGTAAGCTAATCAGGTGTTGTTACGAAATAATTATTAATTTTCGTATATTTAATTTATATAAATGAAGCTTACCTTGAATGATTAGTTTTAAAATCCCGTTACTACGGTAATAATCCAGTGACATGATGTCTCCCGTTTCCTGGGCAGTCACTGTAACAAAAGTAGATATCAGAAAAAAAAAGTGAATTGTCAGATCTCAGAAATACAGGAAGTTTATAAGCTTTCAAACTAAAGTAAAGAAACAGCTTGATGTCAAACCAGTTCTTAATTATGATTCCATGTTTAAATATCTCGTACAAAGTGCAGCTTTTAAAGCTAATGTTTTAGTTTGAAATAAACTTGCGAATGTGATACACCATTTCTGGTGCAGTCTGAAACTATTACTCTGATACTAAAGGAAATGTGAACCCACCTCTTGCTAAATGAGGTTGTGCATTTTTGATTCATCACTCGACTTTTTTCTTAATCTGATCATGCGTACTTCATTTTCAAAATGTATGTTGTTTTAGGCACTTAATGTATTAAAAGTTACATATCGGAGTGCATTACTTCAATTCCCTAGAGAAAAATGATCACAAGTATCACTTTCGTGTTATAAACAAAAATACGAAACCCCTATAATCCGATCGCTTTCGAAAGATGGATCTTTCGTCATCAGGGACAATCTTTCGAATGCGCTTATGTTATACGGTTTCGTATTTTTGCCTTTAATTGATTTTTTAAACTTGCATGTTTTCCTAGCATCACGAGTTTCGTTGTTAAGAATCCATAGCCTTTATCGTTCTGCATTTTAGAAGCATCACAAATTTTGCTCACACATTCTTTCAATTTATTAATTCAAGATAAAATCTGTTAATAGCGCCACTATTAATAACGTACTAGGGATCACGCTATTTAAAACCTTTGTAAGATATATTTTTTTTGTCGTGACATAGTTTCTGAACGATTTAAAACCTGATTTACATATAAATAACTTGATGAATTAACTGTGGTTTCCAATTCTTTTTTTCAAAATTTGTTGGTTAGCAGTTGATGGATTTATTTATTTATTATTTGATATACATAAAACTATCAACAAACATCAGTAAAAAGAAGTTGGAAAGTTATTTTAAAGCAACACATAAAAAATTTATACTAATTTATAGTAAATATACTAATGGAGCTAGATAAAAAAAAACTTTAGTTAATTAATCAGTAAAGTCATAACATGTCAAACGCTACCACTTTTTTTTATTAAGTACAGAAAATACGCAATAAAGATGTATGCCATAACATATTATCTTACCGATTACAACTAAATAGATCTAGCACTGTTATACCATTTATAAGAATCCAAAATAATTTGGTTTACACAGTTCGTGATAATATATAGTGTTATTTGATTGGGCTTTTTACATCATATTTGAACATTTTTTCATGATTAATCTGTACTCGCTGACTTGTCGTAACCCAACTTCCCTCCCTGACTGAATAAAAGTTCTATACAATCAGTAGGTTAAAACTCGTATATTATTTTATATGTACTCTTCTGATGACTTTACAATATACTGTTTTTTAGAAATTATATTTTTTCGCGATTATAATTACACACAGTATGTTAAAAGCTCAAAAGTTATGACAGCGCCTGAAAAAATTCTTAACATTGGTTATATCATTTCAGTGTTTTTTATTGCAGGATGTTTTATTGAATTTATCTGTAAATCTATATAATAAAAAGAGCATATTGAATTAATATTACCATTGTTTTTAAGGTGTATGTAACCTCATTGTTATCATAAATAATGAATTTGAAGGTCACGTTTTTGATTTTACTCTTCACTAGATTAAAACATTTTTATAGGTAACTTTACCAGGCGTAGAGTGAAGTCTAGTTAAAAACAGGAACACGACAGCAAAACATATTGAAAGGCTTTTCGTAATTTAGAAACTCCGTAGTTATTGCATATTATATATTTATTAAAACGTAATGATACAAAAACAAACAGTGCAGTGAGTTCACATGAATAATTCCATAAATTAATTGTTTAAAAAACAGAATGGTCGAGTGAGGTATTTTAGTACCTGTAAAAATCCACAAAAAAAGTTTTCTATATTATTCTTCCCGGAGTATTTTTGTTTGTTTCAGAGCAAAACCACATTAGGCTGTATGCTGTGTCCGTCCACCTTGGAGGATTTTAGCGTTGTAAGTACGTAAATAATTTTTAGAGATGAATATTACACAACAACGTTTCCATAATGAATTCACTTAAATATTCGAAGAATAAATTGCTTTTTACAATTAAGTTGCTATTTTCAACATTTAGTTAGGGTAGGATGTTTAGTGTCATCTAGATGTTTGTTTATTTCTTCTACTGTTCTATAGACTGAATGGAAATGTAGTACTGCAAAAGTTACTGAACATATCTTGGAAGAGTGGTAGTTACTTACGTAAGGGTGTTGGAAGATTGCTACTTTCTTACAACGTAACGGTCTTGGAAGAGTGGTACTTTCTTACAACGTAAGGGTGTTGGAAGATTGCTACTTTCTTACAACGTAACGGTCTTGGAAGAGTGGTACTTTCTTACAACGTAAGGGTGTTGGAAGATTGCTACTTTCTTACAACGTAACGGTCTTGGAAGAGTGGTACTTTCTTACAACGTAACGGTCTTGGAAGAGTGGTACTTTCTTACAACGTAAGGGTGTTGGAAGATTGCTACTTTCTTACAACGTAA